CATTCCTGCCTAGTAATGATTTGCTGACAAGCAGGTTCAGAGAAAATTAATTCATATAATGCATGCTTTTTTGGTTGGCGTGGGTGTGAATGTTCTGATCACTTAATTGTTACCTCTGAAGCCTAATTATGGCAAACTAAGTATCATGCATTTCACTGATTGTTTTGGCAGGCCTGCTGAAAGGATTTTGAACTTGCAGGCTTGTGTGCTTTTTCCAGTTGTTTCAACTAGGCTAATGATGCCTCTCCCTACAAAACTTGCTTCAGATTTTATGGAAAGTATTCCGCTAACGGTGTATGAGGCTCATTTGAAAGAGGAATGCGTGTTTCTTTATATGTTTGTTGGAAGGCAAATTAGCTCGCAAATATTGGAGGTTCATTTCTAACCCTTTGATATTATGGGGATGAGGTATTTTGGGGGAATAATTTTTGGAAGGGTAGATACTTGGAGAAAAAGATGAAAGACATCAAACCCTACAGCTTGTGAGAAGTGTTTTGTAGTTGAGGATATATTCATCACTGAGCATTTTTTTAGTCCATTTGCTCAAAAATAAACTAGCTTCTAGGTCTCAGTGCAGCAGATGTATATATCTGTCTCCAACTCATGATGCATTCATATAATCCTGTTGGCTTTATTATGAGTACAGAAATGTATATTTTTTTAAACATATGAGTGTTTGCCCAATGTTTGCATGAATGTTGAATGCAGTTTGCGCCATTTTTTTAAAAGACCGTCAAAACCTTCGTACAATTTTTTACCAGACTTTTGGGTCAATGGTATTCTATCTGACTGTGTTGCTGTACATGCAAGTGATTTTTTTTCTCTGTCATTTTTAAACAAATTTTAATGCAGTGAATGCTTTGGTTGTCTTTATAGTTACCTAGGTAAGTGAACAATATTGAAAGAAAAGGAGATATCAGTGCAGTATCTTACTGACTTGCCAAAAAGATGTTTGCTGTCTACCTCTGTGTGTCATCATATTTCTTCTTAGCAACACGTGAGATAGCACTCTGTGCCTTTTTGTGATTTTTCAAGACATCACTGTCTTTTTTGACCATATTTTCTATGAATTCTTGTTCATGCTTAAAGCTTAGAAACCTTGAAGAGAGAGGGAGCTCCAGCTTAATGTGTCATACTTTCTTTGCAGACGTTTGGCACTTGTTTTTATTTTGTTTCTTTCTATATGAAACGGCCATTTTTTCTGTGGAAAAATTCTCTCAATTCTTTACATTTACATCAGCTGGTGGGTAAAACCAGTATATACTTTTCTGAAAACTTTAAAATATGGATCTGTGATATTTATTATGGAAAAAGCAACATTGTTTTATTACATGGCACTTGATCCAAAATGCTAGCTGATGCCTTATCTTCTAAAAATGACAGCTGATATATCTTAAAGCAAATAACCATTAGCCAGATACTATTAATTCTGCCACTGATAAAATTAATGTAGTAATAAGGTGGAAGGACTAATGAGGAAGGTCAAAGTATCTGATTATGTGCAAGTAATTCATCAAACTTCAAAACCCGCATCATGGCACCATAAACTGGTAAAACGTATAGCTAGCACTGGAATAGTTTTGGAGGCCTTTAGGAACATAAAGTACTGTACAAGTAAGAGAGTTAGCTAATTGTTATTGTTAAAGTCTAGGGATCCCAATGATGAGTGTGTTTATATGCTGTTCAAACATAGGGGACAAATTATATCTTCTTTTTTTTAACTCTAACTTGTTAAATACACAGCCAAATTTAGTCTTCTGGTAAAGAACTTGATAGCTCTAAAGTTAGAAATTACTCATAGAAAATTAGTGTCCTTGCAGCGTGAATTCAGCAAATGATAAATCAAAATTCCTTCTGCTGCAGAAGGATTAGAAGTCTGTACAAGTCGTAACTCAAGTAAAATAGTGATCATTTTACATTGAAGTGGTAGCTATCAATTTCCATAGTGCTTACGATCTTGGATTATCCATTTACTTTCCGCTGTTGCCTGGTTTTTTTATTCTGTGTAATAAACTAGAAAAGTTACTACACTGTAATTTGTCAATTAAAATATATAATGCTCCCAGAAAACAGTACTGAGAGTATGCTATTAATTTACCCTTTTGAGCTTGAAGTCAGGCTCTGGTTTCACCAAGACTGTTTCTCTCCACTGCATTTCGTTGTATGAGCACCAATAACTCTGGTCATAGTTAAGGTCTGCTGGATATTGGTGCCTGCATTGGGGCATAGTGGTCTGACTGCGTCTCCAGTGGACAGTGAGTAGGCTTTCACAAAACTAGGAGGAACCTCTGAAATATTTTTCTGTATGTTTTTCTTGCATTTCAGTTAAGTTTATATACAATATTATAACAATATTTGAGAATGGAGTAGAAAAACGCATTTTGAAAGCCTGTCCTGTTACAGTGGATGGCCACATAGTATAAGTCCAGCACCATTAGAAGATGACACTAAGTATTAAGGCAACACTTGTGTTTCAAAACTCTGAATCACAGCTGCAGTTGTTGCTACTGTCAGCACCATCAAACACATCCTTGCTTTAGGTTGTGGTGGTAGCGGCAGCTTCCTGGCTGTCTGTCAGGCCTTACTAAATGTGGGAGTCAACTCTCTAGGCATCATTTGCTATTTTGAAAACCTTATCCTTACTCTTTTCAGGGAAAAGCACTAGGTCAGGTCACGAGTGTCTTTTGGGCTGCCAGTTGAATTGCTGGTGATGAAAAGATGACATGAAGGAGAGAGGTTTTCTTCCTAGGTATCTGCTGTGGACTTCTGTTGTTTGGGTGAAATAGCATCAGTGATCTGTTTTGCTTTCTTCATCTTCATCTGAAAGAACAACAGTGCTTGGCTGCCTTAAGTTGAGGCTTCGTAGTGTACATCATTATCTCTGAACGTAACTTCTAAACTTCCTCTCTCTAAAATCCTTTATGATGTTACTGTTAAACCACTTTTATGTGCTTTCCTATTCTAAAAAGTGGCTTTCAAAAATTCTCATGTAATCTGTTCTCAATGGATTGTTGGCAGCCCTATGTCAAAGGTGCTGTGATTTCAATTATATATATAAAATTTATTTTTTTTTAATTCAATATGACAGCCATTGTGGTATGTAAGGGTTATGCCGAACTCTTTCATCTTTTGGTATATGCACAGGAGACAGTAGAGACAGGTTTTTTAATTCTGGTTGAGTGCTTGTTTGAGGGCGTACAGCCATCTTCTTTAGGTGGGATTTCTTGTTCCTTTGATAGTCAGCAAAGAGCAGGGTGTCTTATCTGTGTTAGGTCTTCCTCTCTCACTTAACTGCCTGAAGAAAGCCTAGACACAGTTTTTGATACCTCATTTTAAAGTGGGGTGCAGTTCCTTCTGGAAATAATCTTACAGCCTTAGTTCTAAAACTACAGAAAGAGCCTAGATCACATATTTGCAGGCTAGGCTCTTCATTTTCCAATGATAGTTAGATACATTCAGGCTTTAACTATTTGCATATTTTGAGAGAGAAAATTACAAAGAGTAGCTGATGGGATGCAAGGTACAAGAAAATCCAACTGTCTCGATGTCTCCATTGGTAAATAATTCCAAGTGAACACACGCAGTGTGCTTGATTATTTTGCAGGATTGAAATACAGTAGTGGAAATTTGTCATTTAAGGTGACTTCCTAGAATATTTTGCCAGTATATGTGTTTGCAGTAAATAGCTAGTGAAGCTGTTGTTACTTATCCTTGCAAATCTTAACTCTGACTCAAGAAGCTCTTACATATTGCAACTTTGGAGAAAAATGAGACAATGGTTAATATATGTGATTTGGTTATAAAAATTGCCTTTTGAAACAGACAAAAAGAATTTTGCAACAGTATTGTCTCGAATAACTTGCAGCACTGGTATGAATTTCCTGTTCTTTTTCGACTTCTGAAAGGTGCCATGAAACAGTTCTCTCTCCATTTATTGTTTTCTTAAGTATTCAGTTGCTAGGAGTTTGTCAAGTCCGTTGAGTCTTTTCACTGTTCTGTTCTGCGCATATATTGGTAGGAAAAGGAATTCTGCATCAGAGTCTGTAGGGAACAGTCCTGTCCTCTTCAGGATTTTTTTTGGAAAGGATTTCACGAAAAACAGGTATTTCTCCTCTGGTGTTCAGAAAAAATATTAGGACATGGTTGCAAAGGCAGATAAGCTGATCTAATGGCCCACTGCTGCTGAGGAGTGTGGTTCTCCTTTTCCTTGCCCACCACCTTTAAATGATTTGGATTCTTTCTTTTCGTTTGAGTGTAAAGGAGTAGTTTTCTGCTAGGTGAGTGAATTGGTTTGCTAAGTGGTTGGATGACTGTCGAAGCACAAATAGGAGAGAGAAGCACACAAGCACACAGTGAAGAGTGGAAAGGTGGAGGCAGAGCAGAACTTTCCTCTTTTGGCTGCAGCCAGCCATTAAATCAGCTCTTTCAGTTTAGTAGCATCCTTAGGAGCATCCAGTTATTGTGAATACAGCATATTTTTAAAACGAGGAAAAACCAAGAGAGTCCCACTTGGCATACCTGAGGTTTCTGGATGCTTTCTGAGTGTTCAGGCTGCTTCCTCATGTTCAGGCTGGATCCTCATCCTCTGGTCTTTCCTAAAGTTCTGGCAATTTTCAATCATTTCAATCTTTCTTGTGAGATCATCTTACATAGTGGATATGTTTTCAGTTGCTGAGGTTTAGGTGATTGTTGTCCCTCCTTCCTGTCCCCTAAGTTTGCTGCTCCCATTTAATACCATTTGAAGGACAGAGAGAGCAGAAAACAGTGATCAGTTTGAGAAATGAGGTCCAACATTTAAGTCTTCCTAAATGTGTAAGTGCTGGAACAGAGCTATTTGTAGTTACAGAAATCTGACGACAGAGACGCTATCTGTTGACTCAGAAGCTGTTTCTCAGCACAGCTGACCATAAAGCAATACAAAATTGTCTAAACCTCACCTTTCTACCTTTGCCAGTTTCTTTGAAGCCAGCTGGACTTTGGAAATCTTTTAACAGCTCCCTATGCTTTTGCCTGTACTAATCTTAATTGCCAGGTGTGTAGCGGTGACAAGAGCTAACTGTGGTTTTGAGGGGCTCCTGATTTGGCCATTTAAGGTATAGTTCAGAGAGAAGAGGGGATAAGCGTGTGCACTGCTACTTACTTTTCATAAAAATAAAATTATTATGCAAAACTCTGAATTCTCCTTTTAACAAAGAAATTGAAGCCCCTTCCTCAGTGGAAATTTCAATATAGCATTAAGAGTTGAGGAGCTAAGCCTACTTCTGAATTATACTCTTTTGCAGTATTAGTAGCATTACGTTGTCTTCTTTTTTTACTTTTGTATAGAGGAGAAGAAGCCTAAAGTCAAGAAACCAAAATCAGAGTTCCCTGTATACATGGTTCTGGAGTCAAGTGCATACGTACCATCATATGATCATGGAGCATCCATTGAAGAGATTGAGGAACAGATGGATGATTGGTTGGGAGGCAGGAACAGAACACAAAAAAAGAAGGTAAGTTCAAAATCTTTCATGTTATATATTTTAAATGTTGATTTATTTGCTTGCCTGTTAAGAGAATGGAATAATGTACGTATGCATGCCACCACAATATTTATATATCGTTGAAGTCTAGAGAAGTATTAATTGTCAAGCAGAGACATAATGGAAAAGATTATATTGATGTTCAGTGTTATTTGTGTAATGGTACTGGAAATGTTGTTATAATAGGATGTTGTTGATTAAAATATATGAAAGCTCTCTATGGTTTCTAATGTAAATACTATTCTTGTTCACTAGAAATTAGTAGAACATAATGCTGTCAAGTTATATGAAGCTTGGTTCTTTCTCTTAATAGCAGTAAATAAGATTTTGCTTGCAAGAATAGCTTCTCTGTTTAAAAAAAAAAAAAGCAAAGGAAAAAGAAAGACGAAACCTTCCCTACTTAATATCCAGATGTAGTATCTTTTGATTATGGAACTGCTTACGTACTTTGTGCGTTTCATCTGACTTAGGGAAAAGTACTAACAATTCAACTTAGGCCTATTGCTAAGGTTCTTGCTACTTTGAGATAAGGGTTCTTAGTGGCAGTTAGTGTAATTATCTTCTGGTAAATTTTATTAAAACATACTGGCTTGAAAATGTATAGTTTTCATTTTAGAACTGAGATAGGCAAGTGACAGAAGAAATGTTAAAAATTGGTCTACTGACTTGAAAATCTGCCTTGCCTGGAAAACTGAGATGAAGAATGATGTGTTTGGAGTGCAGTTAGGGCAACACATTTTCTTCAGCATCAAAATAGTGAAAGAAGTTACTGTTGTCGTTTGTTTGATTCATCTGTGCTGCAGATTTGCTTACTCCTTAGTTGTTTTCAAGCCTGTGAAAAATACTCCCTCGCATTTTTTAGCCAGACCTAAAATTTGTACTAAAATAATTTGAATTTTGTATAACCTGATTAATCATCTACCACTACTGGATTCCTAAGCTTCATGACTTCCCAGTTGCCAGTTTTCTCTTGCTGTTACTTTTATCTTTCTGTATTATCTAGTACATCTGCATTATGTTTACTTTTATATTTCTGTAACAAAACTGTTCTGCAAATATGCTTAGCTTTTGACTTCCATGTAGGGGATTTACACTCCGAATCCTTAAACACTGGAGCATATTTTCATGCACTTAGACAAATTAAGAACTCGGGTCCTTAATTCTATAGATGAGTTGCCTGGGAGTTACGAGCATATGTACAGTCATTGCTTTGTTTACCTTAATTCAAAAAGCACCCATGGATTGGATTTCTGTTAGTTGCATCTCTGTGAAACAGCTTTTCTTACCAGGCTGTGTGGGCAAATGATTAAAGGAGAAAAGATTTATGTTTGTTTACAGAAGCTTGGGTTGGTTGCATGCTTGACTGTCTGAATCCCCGAATTCATCTTCCCCTCTGATGGAAATTGAGTCTTTCTTTGGATTTCCATGAAAGAAATTTAAAAAGACTGGGCCTATTCTAGGTGTAATTTTGCACCTCCTACACGGAGTGTATAGAAGTTGTGTCTTCAGAGTCACTGATAAGAGAACAAGTTGCATGTACATCCTTTTAGAAACAGAAGTCACAGAAATTAAAATATATCAAAGAACTGTTATTAAAAGGTAAGTCACTTGCTTTTCTACACTTACACCTAGAGATTCAGTATTGCATCTCATCACTTTGATTCATGAGTTTATTTTTGGAATTATATTCTGTTACAAATGGGGTTAACATTTTTAGGGGCAAGCAGGCAATTTGCAGGTATACTGTCTGGGTAAAGTGTTTGACCTGAACAAACTGTGATGAGGTGTGCTTCCTTTCCTTGACAGCTAATATGTTACCACAATACAACATCAACATTTAATACAGTAGAAGAGAGAAACAGATTCATAAACTGTACAAAGAAATGGAGAATATATGTTACTGGCTGTAGTAGGTTGTAGGAGCCATTTGTATGTCAATATGAGAATGTCTGTCTGTATCATATGATTTGTAATAAGCTCGCTGTGAAAATCGTTGTACCTCAAGTGAATTGTTCCTAACTGTCATTTGATGCATTTTCCATTTTAGAAAGATGTGTTTTCTGCCACTACACATCATAGATGTGAACTGGGACAGTACCCCTCTTTTACCTCCCTCTTCTGCTTCTTGCATGGACATGCAAGTGCTGTGTAACATTCACCTCTCAGTTCTGTTTGTCTTAGGAAGAAGTTACTCTTTCATAAATCATTTTGCCATCAGACTTTTTCTTTGGATCGTCATGCTTCACTCATGAGAAAGCTTGATAGCTTTTTTTCTTTTCTTTCATGATAGCTCAAGGATGTGGATTATGTGTAGTCAACCAGTCTTGAGAGCAGTTATCCATGTAGGAAATTGAAGTAGCTTGATAAAATAGTATGTTGTTATGTCATCCATCCAGAAATAAGGAAGTGGAGTTGGTGTCCCTGATGTTGGTGTCCTGAGTGTAGATACTTACCATTCATTTCATGTTGTTGGTGAACTGCTTTGCACTATTGACATTTGCACTTTGGGAGGTGCCTGTAATCCACAGAATAGAGTTTTGGAAGTGCTGTACCATGCAGACTGCCCAGTTTGATTAAAAATTAGATTATGTTCAGTTGTTAGGTTGAAGTCAGTCCCCGTGATTTTTTTTTTTTATTTTTCTATTTTTGAATACATGATGATATTTGAATGCTTAGGGTCCTTTCATTTAGGGTTTTTTTCTTTTGTGGTCTTTTTTTTTTTTTTTTTTTTTAAGCTGGTTTAATGGCTCATGGGCTACAGTCCTGTAAGCTGTTTACAAATGTTTCTTCCAGTTTAGAAGAGGACATTTTATGCTCTTTGGAAGAGTGAATTTGGAAGTCTAGGGTTATGAATTTAGATGCATCAAAGCTGTATAAAAGAAAAATTAAGATTTTTATTGTTCCATCTGCAACAGGAATCTGGATGTTTTTTCTGATAGGTATTAATCTAGGAAGTAACATTATCATAGAATCATTTGGGTTGGAAGGGACCTTAAAAATCATCTAGTTCTAACCCCCATGCTGCCATGGGCAGGGACACCCTCCACTAGACCAGGTTGCCCAAAGCCCCATCCAACCTGGCCTTGAACACTGCCAGGGATGGGGCCTCCACAACTTCTCTGGGCAACCTGTTCTAATGCCTCACCACCGTCATTGTAAAGAATTTCTTCCTAATACCTAATCTAAATCTACTCTCAGTTTAAAGCCCTTAACCCTTGTCCTATCACTACGTGCCCTTGTAAACAGTCCCTCTCCAGCTTTCCTGTAGGCCCCCTTCAGGTACTGGAAGGTGCTCTAAGGGCTCCCTGGAGCCGTCTCTTCTCCAGGCTGAACAATCCCAACTCTCTCAGCCTGTCCTCATAGGAGAGGTGCTCCAGCCCTCTGATCGTCTTCATGGCCCTCCTCTGGACTCGCTCCAACGGCTCCATGTCTTTCATTTGTCCAAATGCAAATTGGAGTACCAGTGTGTTTTTGGATTGGTCTACTAATTTTTATTGATAGTTGCTTAGAAACATTTGAGTTTTTACTGTCTGATGTCTGAATATGATACGGAAGCTATTACTGTACCGTTGATTACTGTTTCCATAGGGTTTAAGTATTGAAGTACATAAGGAGCAGGCTCTAGAGAAGAAAACAGCTTCCTTAGGCAAGGTAAAATGATCTACCAAGGGATGTAGAAAGAGGAATGTTTTCTGATGTGTTTGGGGTTTTTTTCCGGTTTTGTTCATTTGTTTTCCCACAAGGCTACATAGCTGGCTGAAAATGTGCTTATAGCATGGTAAAGTTGTTACTCTGTCTTAGTTTGAGAACACACAAAGTTTATGTCCATAAGGGGCTTGTCTTGCTATGTCGTTACTCTCTACTTAGAACTGAATATTAAAAGAAAGTGAGCTATTGGGAGATACTGAGATAATATTCAGTATTACAGAACTGAGAGGTAATTTTTCTGCATTTCTCTGCAGCAGTGCTCCATCCACCTTTAGGATTTTTTGTATAGTTTTGATCGTTGCACTTTTCAGAAAGAAAGAAAAATTAACAGGAAGACTAGATCAGCAATGAAAAGAAATTTAGAAAGCCAAATTTATGAGGAGAGGTTAAATGGAGTTTTAGACCAGAAGAGGGAAACTGTTTGAGAATAACTGAATGCATTGTTTTTCCAATCCATTCCAGACTGGTTTAGGTAAAATGATAATAATTTATCGTTTACTACCTTTCATAAATTTGTGAAGAAAGAAATATTGAATTTAATTTGCAGCCAGGATATTTAAATTCAGATTTGGGAACACATGTAGGGGGAGATGCATAACCAGAGCATATTACCTAGACCATTTTTGAAACCTTTCTTTGACCATCTATCCGGTTCTTAAACTCCATCTGTTGAAAAATAGTGTGAGCCGACTCAGTTGTATTTGAGAGCATGGAAATGAAGTCATGAGACTCTTGAGGGTTTTTTCTATATGGGAAATCATATACTTTACTAGCACGAAACTGCATATTCATGTAGCTTACACTATTCGTGCAAACTGCATAAGACCATGCAGCTGAGAGGAATTACTAAAATCTCATTCCCATACTGGTAACAAAGTTCTTCAGAGCAAGTGCTGAAAAAGTTTGTGTCTAAAATTATTTTTGTTTTGTCACTGAATGTTTGTACTCCCAGATTAGATCTTCTTTCGGGTTGTTAAGAAGAGATAAGTAGCTTAATTTACTTAGCTTGAGCTTATTCTATTTTTTTTTCTTTATCTGTCACTAAAAAATTGATTGGAAAAAAGTGTTTGGTGTATACTTGTTAAGAATTAAGGGAAATTTAGAGGGAATGTCACTATGGGCTTCCTTCTAGCTTGCATTATTTTGTGGCCTGCATGTGTTGTTAGCCACTATTGCCTTATTTTGTAGCCATTTAACTCTTTACTTTCCTGTTGGGCAACCTATTATGTAGAGCTGGAAGAAAAAAGAGCAGCTTGATAGAG